GTCAAGAGATCAACATTTAGTTTAATTGCACATATTTAAAAACTACATTTAATGTGTACAAAAGATAAAGCTCAAAAACTTAAAATGCATTATATCGGCAGTGTTCAATGCAAACAATGGTTTTTCTTCTTTTCTCGGCAAATTCTGTTTATATTTGGTTTAATACTGGAAAGTTGGATTTGCATACCTGGCGCAGCATTCAGTCGATTTATGTTTTTTGTTTTTGCTGCTGCGTTAATTTGAACAAGTATGTGCTGGCAAAAGGTAACAACTGATGAATTGCACGTCTTGATAAAGCTGAATATACTTGACATAAACCACCCCAAAATGTAATCAGAAAAATTTCTTTAAATTTTTGTATTAATTGGCCTTCTGAAGCGATTTCAATTAGGTTTTCATAATCTTGTGTACAAAAACGGACTGGCTTTTCTGTTTACTTAATGGATTTCAAATCCAGTTATTGTCACTTATGGTTGGAAAATACTTCATGATGTTTGAGTATGAATTGCAAAGATGATCTGCAATGTCCTGGCCAGGAGGGAGGGTACAAGAAGAGACTTGGGGCAGGGTGCCTGGCCAGGAGAGAGGGTACAGGAGCGGTCTTGGGGTAGGGTGTCAGAGCAAGCTGAGAATGCGAGGCCTTGGCACGGGGAGGGAAGTGAGTGAGGTGGATTTGGGTGCAGGAATGAGGAGCAATGCTTACCTGGCTTGGCACCCTGCTGCAGCAGAGAAAGCCTCCAGGCAGCATGCTCTTGTTCCCCCAGCAGGAGGGATTCCAGCACAGCTGCAGCACCAGGTCAGGCTTCCCGCTGGCAGGGGTGTCTGTGTCTGTGTCCACCCCGACCTTCACCACCAGACCAGACTCTGCCGCTTCCCCAGCAGGCTAGGGAGGGATGCAGGGGGGAGAGAGACCAACAGCACACACAGGGGCAGCAGGCCTGAGCACACCCCGAGGGTGGTCAGAGCCAAAACATGCCCTGAGTGGGAGGGGCAGTGCCCCAGCCAAGTTCCATTCTGGGATCGGAGTGCAGGCAGCAATTTAAAAATGGCGAGGCCCAGGAGTGGCTACTCAGCACCCCTTCCCTCCGAGCAGCAGCAGTCACTGCAACAAGCCGCCACCTGCACACGTGGGGGGAAGGGAGAGAGAGGGGGCGCATGCTTCCGTACCGGAGGTCCCATGGGACAGGGGCAATCCTGCGGGGTAAGGAGAGGGCCACACCATGCGCAGTGGTGAGGCAGCCGCAGTGGGTGGTGGAGTTCCCAGAGCCACGCACCGCCAGGAGCCCACCCTCGCCGGCACAACTCCAATGGGAGCTGCTTGCAGGCTGTGCAGGGGACGGGGGAGTAAAGTTTTCTCACAGAACCCTTAGGTTTACTTTGTGAAACCCCAGGGTTCCGTGGAACACTATTTGGTAAACATTCCATTAGATGAATCACTTTTGGATTAGTTATTTTCTCAGAATAATCCTTTCACCCCCACTTGGGGATGCATATAAGTCTGTCCATGGTAATTAGCTTGTGATTTGGGACAGAAATACTGTTGAGTCCTGAAGAATAGCCCAGTTATGAGCACAAGCAAGTTCTAACCAGCAGATTACAACTGGAAAGTGTGGCAATTATACTGGGAGAGGAAATGCATTACCAGGGAGAGAAATGATGATAATGGAAAGGGTGAACAAAACAATGATTTATTGCCTCAAGAGGTGGGTCTCAGTTACCAACATCTTTAGTTACACTACATTTTCAAGCTGATAATTAAGATAAAATATTGTTGACATTTTTGTCAATAGCAAGAACATAAACAGCTAAGATCATAGCCAAATAACACCACACACTATGAATTTACTGATTCTCCTTCGAATAAAGGATCAGATATTAGTACATTGCTTTTACTAAAAAACTACAGGCAGGCAGTCCTATAAATCTGAGGCAGTTTGAAGTTTCTCTGAAAATATAGGCTACGGAACAAGTAAATTTCTGGTCAGTTTTTAGGTGGGTCAAAATCTAGCCGTAAATAGGCTGACAACATCTTCTTTAATCTATAACTAAAAAGAATCTCAAAGGATTTAAGCTGATGGAAAAAGTAGGTAACATAAGATGAAGAGGTGCATATATGTAAAAATCACTAATTATATCTTTTCTAGTTATACAATTTCTCTCATTCTCCCAGTGGGTTCGAGCTGGTTAAATTTTTCTGCTGTTGCTGGAAAGAAGTCTAGAGCATATTATGCCCAACAGCAAACCAACTCCTCTAAGGTCTCAAACTGTACACTCATGATGACTGATCTGATTTTTCTTAGCCTCTCATTCTCCTTAAGTTGTCCAAAAGAGTCTGAGAGAACTACTACTGAGATTACTTCTGAAGTAAGCTCATTTTCCCCTCTATGAACTTACAACTTTGCAACAAAATGTCAAGTAGGTTAATATAGCACCTAAGAAGCAATCCGTTAGCAACAAAGTATTTATCCACAACTGCACCGTGGTGGTCCTAAAGACAACACACCTTGCTGCCAACTTCCTTTTGTCAACCACCTCTGTCTTGCTTGGAGCCTGTCCTGCATCCGCTGTCACTAACAACCTTGGGACGCCGTGTCCCAATGACCCGACTTAAATTGACAACCGCACATTTCCACAGATCCTGCCCCAGCACTCCCAGTGCTCTCTGATCCCGCCCCACATACCGTTGGTGCCCCTTGCTCCACAAACTCCATGACTACCTGTTGTGTCAAATCCCAGTCCTGCCCCACTAACCCTGCAACTGCCTGGTCCACAAACTGTGAGACCCCCTACCATCCCCGACCCTGCTCAGACACCCTTAGATCTGCTGCCCTGAGACAGAAGCAAGAGCTGTGTCGCACCAGGCTCCATAATCACTGAACCACTGCAA